AGCACACAGGGCAGTGAGCTTCGTTCCTGGCACGCTTGAGAGTGAGCCGCGCTTTGACGGTAGAGATGGAGAGATCAGAGATTTGATCGTCTTAGCTCGTGGGCGTCGCAGAAACCGAAGGATCCGAAGGATCCGAAACCTCGCCATCTCGGCGATCCCGTTAGCTTCCAATCTCTTCCAATGCGATGGCCACCTCTCCAGCAGGTGCCGCATCTGCCGCGCAAAGCGCAAAGACCGCTCACAGCGCTCGCGCTCACCACGCAAGGCCTGGCGTGGTTAGGGACGAAGAAATACCTGATGTGCAGCTCCTGTAGGCTGGCAACCTACAGGCCCTGTAGGTGCAGCGCTGGGCCTGTAGCTTGGGGCCATAAAGAGGATGAAACGGCCATTTGGGTGATGTGGACTGCACATTCCTGCCTACAGCCTTCTTATGGAAATCAGAAGGACCATCATCCGCATTGTAGACTCAACAGCCTGTAGATCAGCCACCTACAGCACATCTGGATGCATTCTGTGCCTGCGACCCACCTGCTCTGGGAGCCATTGCTTTTGTGAAGGGAGCCAGACCATGCCAGTTGCGCAACCCACACCCCTGCTTACGTTGTCAGAGCATGTCGAAGAATTTTCACCAACAACACCCCGCATGCCAGGAACTAGAAATCACTAACTTCCGGCATAAGCTGCTGCTACAGGTCAGAGTTGACCCGCCAGCAGCTCAAAACTATTGTTTCCACAGTAAAGCACCAGCCGGGTAGCCTTCAGCTGTCTGTGAAGAGTCGTATCCACGGCATCATTGGCGATGAAAGCCTTGCTTGATAAGACATCACAACAAAGAAGGCATCCAAACAACAAACAGAACTCATGGTCCACTTCACCTTTTGAAACAAGCTTTAGCAGCACAGTTACTGCACATCCTTTGCACCATCATCTCAACTATGCAGAAGCCTCATAGACTAATAGATCTGTTTTTTCAGCCTCAAGAAAAGAAGGATTAAGCTGTTTCACGGTGGCGGTTCCTTGTTCCCAAAAAGACCACCGGACCACGGACAAAAGGCCGCCCCCCCCCAATCCTTTTCTCTCGGTCCAAGGCACCGAGACGAGGCCTTCTTCCATGTCGCGCTCGTCTTCCGGCGACTCCTGGGGCCGACGCGCGGGCGCTCGGTGTACGCCAGACGCCTGGCATGTTTGGAACATGTGGCCGCTTGTTCGTCCTGCTGGTTCGGCAGATGCCACCAGTGCTTTTCATCACCTAAAAAATGTCCAGAAGATGGACTTTAGTATTCCACAAGATTACGACCTCTCATGCCCAACACCAGCATCCCCGCAACTGGTGGCTTTTGCAAAAAGAGGACATGGCCCGAACGGAGACAAAACCTCTCACCTCCCACAAGAAACATCTTCTTCCTTCTAGAGCCATGCCATGTCCCATGTCCATCACTAAGCCTTGACAGCAGAAGGCTGCTGTCATATCACCCCTCCCAGCTCCTGCGCAAGCAGCGTGACCTCCGCCACCAGGGGCCTGGCCGCCAGGAAGAGCTGCTCCGCGAAGGCGGAGTTCACCATGCAAGCGGGGATCCCTGGCGTGGGGTTTGGCGCGGTCGAATCGATCTTCCAAAAACTGAGGATTCTTGGTTTGTAGCTCGAAACTGTCCTCTGCGACGAAAAGTGGGGGGGGCATCCAAAGCTGTTTGCTTCGGACGTGGCTATTTTGGCATCGAACGGGGAGGAGATGGGAAAAACGTGTGATGGGTGATGGGGGTTGTGAATATCTAAAGCAAAAGAATGTTATATAGGTCATGAAAAGCTTCTGTGTCTCATTGAATGGTGCTGACCTAGAGATTGGAGACGTGTTTTCAGTTTAGTGAAGACTGGCGGCCGCCAGGCTTGGTCGGAAGGCCCAACCCAAACCCAAACCCACCACGAGGGTCACTGGCGGACATGGACTCATTGGGTAGAAGAGAGTTCCATGCTCATCTGCCAAATTGGCTGTGGACACACAGGGTTTCGAACGGAAATCCCATTGGAACTCCCATTGGATGTCCCTCAGACTCTGAAGATCCCGGCAAAAGCTGCTGTGCGACATCGCTGGGAGTGGCATTTGATGAAGCTCTCTGTCCAATCACACGGGTTCTGTCTATGTCATGATTCCTGGCCGGAAGGCAAACCTAATAACCCCCAAAGCAAGCCAAGTAAGTAGCGAAGAATTTTGAGGCTTGCAAAAGGAAACCTTCGGCCACCAGCGTTCGTTCACCCCGCCTGGTGGCGTCCGGTCGTGGTGGTAGCCAAAGGGCCTCTCAGGCCCCGCCTGAGCTGCAAAGATCACCGCAAGAGCTCCCTGCGCCTGCGCAAGAAGAAAGCGCAAAGCTGAACCTAACAAGTCCGTCTGAGCCCTGCTGTTGTGAGGGATCAGGTTCGCAGAACCACAAGAGTATCCCGCGAACGGGAATTCACCGTTTGGGTCGATGATTTGCCACTTTGGCACACCAAAGGCTCTTGATCTTCAAATCTGTCGGGTGGATAGTTGGCTAGTTGGATTGAGACTGAGCCAACTCCAACAATACCACTCGGGGCTTCATCACAGCAGCAACAGCAACCCACGAACATCATGGGAACAGACTCGGATGATGTCGGAGGTCTTTTGTGCATGTGGACCAGTCCCATGAAACGGATCTTGGGACTGGTCGTAGCTCTTGTTTGGCTCATGTGTGCTCTACTCTGCAAAGTCGCTGGATTGCAGATTGCGGGTCAGAACCAGGTCAGATCCTCCGCGAACCTATGAGGCGTTGTGCATTTTGGAGGAGGCTTTGCAGTGGAGAAGAGATCCGTATACCACCTTCCACGCCCACAGGTTCTGCGGATCTAGGAAACAAGCCCGTCCTCTGCATTAGCACAAGCCGCAGCAAAGTCTGCCACCTCGTACTGCAAGAGCACAGCTCCCCTTTCTGCCACAGTCGTCAGCGGGCCTGCAATGCAGTCAGGTTGGCGCACAGTGGAAGTGGAAGGGAAGACATACTCAATTTGACTTGCTTGGTAGCAGTTCTCGGCTTCATGGTCAAGGCATGTGAGGCAAGTCTTCACATCACCATTGCGAGCTCATGCTAGCATTGAGAAGTGGAATCCGCATTTGAATGCAATCAAATGATGCTCAAGGGACTTTTCTCCATGGCCAATACAGGAGAACAGGAATTTGTGTCTGTAGACTCCCTAAACTGCAAGGCTTTCAGAGACCTGTCAAAAGGGAAGAGGTCGCAGCAAAAGCATGTTCACGGTGCTTGAAAACACTGACGGTTGACGTTTCTTACCTCAAAAGGCTCCCCCTTCCCAACCACTCCACAGCATCAACATCGCCCGACCAAACTCAGAGCCTTGATAACTTTGGCTTGGCAGCAAAGCATTCCACTCCGCTGCGGCGCCCGGGCAAGCCTAGCACAGCTGGGGCGATGGGTCCGACGTGTCGGGTCCGAAGCTGTTCGGCTTCGTCGCGGTCACCGGGTTTGATGTGAAGCTTTTGCTGAAGCCATGGCGGTCTGCCAAGCCACTTCCAGCCCTTCCTCCAGCCCTTCCTCAGTCTGGCCGAAGCGGCGACTTGGGCACGTCCGATCTTCAAGGAGGTCTGAAAAAATCCAGGACTACCTTCATATCTTGTGGACATCTCCAAGTTCCGGTCATCCAAGTTCTGGTCTGCCAATCCCAAAAAAGGAGATCCATAACTTAATGTATTCAAAAAAAGAAGCCCCTCTTCCTATGCACTCAACAGAGACTTTTAGATGTTTCGCTGCCCAAGTAGCGACCCGCACGCGCACCGTCTCCACCGACAGAAAGGACAAATCCGGGGCGAGCGCGGCATCCCCCGCCGCCAGCTGATAGCGCAAGCCTTGTTGGCTTTCGGTGGCCTTGACAGGAGCTACAGCTCGGCACGGAGAATGGGCACGGTTTCGGCACGGTTTCGGACGGCACATAGCTGAGGCTGGAAATTGCTGGGATTGGTACTGTAGACCAATATTTGCTGTGCTTGTGATGGATCAAGGAGATCTGGTAGCCCATAGTAAACCAAGAAATGGGAGTACGAAGGTCTATAGAAAAGGAACCATTCAGAGCCTGGGTGGCGTTTTAAAAAATTCTTCCCAACTCTACTGGCTTTTGCCGGATGAAAGGAAAAGCGAAAAGCAATGAAAAAATACAGCAAAACATGCAAAACGCCCACACCTCCAGCCTGGCAATGTCCTGCAAAGGAAGTTTGCGTTGATCTCCAGCTGTGTGTGACCATTTTGGGGCGCCCGCCCATCTTTTGTGCATGCTGCTTGATCGAAAAATGTCTAGCCGCGCCTTCATCATCCATCTTAACTCGAGGCGAAGGTCCTAAGAAAAAAGAGCCTCCCATGACGAATCCCAGTTCCTAAGCAGTTGAAACGACCTTTGACTAGCTCTTGGGGTCACCAGAGTTCGTCCTGTGAGCCAGCAACAATCCAGCTCCAGATCTCCCAAGACCGTCCTTTTGCAGCTTTTCTAACTTCTCTTTGGTTCGGCTCTGCACGGTGCCCTCCCAATCCGCCAGCGCATGTTCTTCCACCGGGAGCAGCGAGGTGCCCACGCAACTGTACCTGACCGGAGAGGCCTCGGACTGTTTGAAGGTGCTAATGTATTAAGAAACGGAACATAAAGAAAACATCGTTCTCCGAAATTGGTAAGCAACTACCAGTCTACTAATTAGCTTTTGTGGCTTTGAGCAGAGACACAGGGACTTTGGGAACGTCTCGCTCTGGTAGTAAACCTTCACCTGCCCTACTAAGCAACAAAATACGGTTCGGTGTCACCCGAAACAATGGAAGAAGGAGAACTACCATTAACCCACATCCCTACTACTAGGAGCAGGGACGCTACTAGGGGCTCCTGGCATCGCTACTAGGAGCATTCTTACTACTAGGAACAAAGGGCATTTCTACTAGGAGCAAGGATGCTACTAGTAGCTCCTGGCCGAACTACTAGTAACAAGAAGCTACTACAGATCCTTCTCGCCAGCGGTTCTCACCGATCCGAATCCCCGCCAGCCCATCTGCAGCAGCAGCTGATCTCGCTCCTGCGCAGCGGCAAAAGCCATCCCAGCGCCAAAGGAAAGGAGGAGCACGCTGTCCTCGTGTTTCGGGGCCCGAAGGTCTTGAAGAGAGCTACCTGGAGTGTGAGGAGCCTGAGGAGCCTGAGGAGCTGAGCTTTCGAGAGCTCAGAGGGCGATGTGCAAAAAGAAAACCAACTCGAGCCCGGAGTTCGTGAATTCGTGTTTCATTCATTCTTAGACTTGGTCTCTACATGTCTCTACGTGTCTCTACAGTGGGAAACAACACGTGAGCTCTATAAATGAGGCTCCAAAAAGGAAGAACCGGATGTTCGAGCGCTCACAAATCGCACCGAGCCACCAGAACGAAGCCAGCGAGGTTGGCCACTCCGACGTCCGTGCTCTCGCGCGGTCGAAGAACCACGGCCTCCGAAGCGAGGTTGGCACCGGTCGCGTGAAGGAAACAGCACGGTATACAGTACTACTAGGACCAAGAAGCTACTAGGTGGAGGCCATCGCTATGAGGCTGGAGGCCATCTCTTCTAGTAACAAGAAGCTACTATTGGTTTGCAAAAAAAAATGGTGTGATGTGCATGGTGATGTGTTTCACTCATGGATAAGTGATGAGGCGACTCAAAAACACGTCAAAGAAAACGCCTCATTGTGCACCTGGAGTTGAGGCCGTGGCAAACATGCCCACGGGGGGTCGGCTAAAAAGCGTGTGCGGATAAGGTGAGCCAGCTGTGGGCAGCCTGCCAGCGCTTCTCGAAACCAACAAGCAGGACCAGCAAGTGAATTCAAGTGAGCTAACATATGCTCGCGTACAAAGTTTTGGTCTGTCTTGGAAGATGAGGAAGAATGTCTCTGAGATCTGTGCAACTTGATGTCTTTTTCGGGGTTCGCCACTTCCCTTTGAAACCGCCAAGGTTTTGACTTGCTTGGGGTAAAGAAGGCTCACACTTCTTGCACTACTACAAGAGAGCTCGACTCAAATAGAAACTCCACGTCATCCCATCGACACAGGCCCCCTCCGTCACTTCGAACGGCCTGTCCACTCAGACTGGCGCCAGGCCACATGCCAGCCCTCTCGGCCCAACAACAAGGGGCCGATGGAATCCAATTGGCTCTTGGCCGTGCCACAGAGCTGCCAGACAGCTGCGCCTGGAAAAGGGTTCGGTCAACCATCGCAGCGAGGCTCCAAAGCTCCCTTCAATGAAAACACAAAAGAATCAACCCAGCATCTTTGAAGCATCGGGCCTCCAAAAAGCATTCAAAAGAATAAGGGATTGCAGGATTCCACTTTGATAGATCTTTGAAGTTCCGTTGTCGTCCCAAACCACTCATCCCACCCCTCCTTCGTCCCGGAAGTCATCCGCCACCCGCTGCAGCGAAGGCCAGACCGCGCCCGGGCAATCCTGTGGCTGCGTATCGCCGGGACGAGGCCGAATCAAGAGAGCTTGGACTGTTGGGATGGAAGTCTGTTGGCTTCTACAGGAGCAGCTTGTTGGGTTGGTAAGATGGATCCAACCAGGTTGGGCTTGCTAGGGTGCCCGGGACAGCCAAGCGCTTGAAGCGTTCTGCAACTTCCTTCAATCTCATGGATTCTTGTTTCGCTTCTTTCGCTCCAACCTCTTTCCTCCCAGCGTTGCAGTGTTGCAACAAAACGACAAAAACCCAAATCCCCAATCCACCAGCCGCTACCACAGCCGCTCTGACAGCCGCCTGTGGTTCATCAATGACCAAGCGCTTCCAAGCGCTTCCGCCGACCCGAAGCTGCGTCACAGCCTCGTAGTCCATGACCTCTACGAGTAGAAGGGGAGGATCAAGTACAGTAGGAGAGAAAACCCAAAGAGAACCCCAGAACGAGAGACCTAAGAAACCACAAGAAACCCAAGGATTCAGCCACCACAGATCTGGGGCATTTCACCTTTAAGCGTTCGGCCAAACGAGGCTGGGTCTACCTGCTACCTCCCTCTTCAGCCAAGAGCATCGAGGCGATGCTAACCTCCACCGCCACTCAGCGACGACCTCCAGCATCGACGCCCGGGATGCGTCGACCGGGTTGCGGGCGCCGCCTCGGCGTCTTGGGCACGTTGCCCGGCGAGCTCCTCCTGCCACTGCCGAAGCAAATGCGCTGGCGCAACGATCCTCAGGATCGTGAAGGAGCTGCAAAGGCCGGGGAGCGCGTGTAGATTCACGGCATTTGGTGCGGTTCAAGGCATTTGCTTCAGGGGGACGTAGCAAAACACGAATGGTCGGACTGAGTTCACACGAATGGCACGGACTCTGTTCTAGAAACAGTGCGCGTGTTTGGGTGTACACATCTAAGAGCTCAGGAAAAAAACTGGTTTCCCTTCCCTCATGGATCATTGGATGGTCAGGCCATGGAATGGGCAACAATTCAGAACTACGTTCTCCTGAGAGTCTGACGACATCTGACGACAAACATTCCAGGACACTCTGCTATGTTCAGCCCAACCTGGACCTACCCTGACCTCACCTGTCAGCACTTTACACACACATATATAGTCGGACGCAGGAACCCAGAAGTGCTGTACCAACGCAGTACGCGCGATGTTGAAACTACAGGTGATATATTATTTTTTTTCTACGCTCCTTTTCTGGGCTCACGAGCTGACCTCATTGGGTCTGAAACAAAGCGGAAGCTGATGGCCTTGTGATGCTCCACACGCCGTTCTTAAGGCCTTGCTGGCACTGAAGCCAGCAGCCTGTGGCAAGGCCTGAGCCTTGCACTTCTGACAGAAAAGCCGCTTTCCTTTCCGCCACATCTGGTGTGTGCTATGCCCCGTCCATCCATCCAAAGGGCACCAGGCTTCATCCCAGCATCTTTCGGTGGCCATGGCTGCAAGTTTCTCCTTGGAAGAGTTCTTGAGCTGACGAATGCTGCACTTGCCACAAACAACATAGTTCGTCTGCAGCTGGAAAAGGTGAGAACCCATGCCAGCCATGGTGCCTTCAAGCAGGCTGTTCACAAAGGATGCTTTGCTGCCCGTGTCGGTTTCCTTGGGAGCACCCCCAACAATGGAAAGTTTCTCCGACATCACACAAACCTCTGTTTGGCCCTGCTGCAGCTCCTCTAGCTTGTTGTGCATAGTCAGGCGCTTCTTGCATTGCTGGCATTGAATGCTGCATCCTTTGGAGATCCACTGGTGTCCCTCACTTCTGCTGCCTTTAAGCAGCCCTTGGAAGGTTGCTTTCTTCTTTTCTCTGGCGGTCTTGCGGATTTCTTTCCCACTTTCCCTGGCTTGATTGAGAAAATGGGTCTTGTCCTCCTGCAAGTGCTGTATGCGCTTGATGACCAGCGGTGCAATGCGCTGGTACTTTTCATCTTGTGCCTTCAAAATGGCTTCCTGTTCATGCGGTTGCATGGACAAGGCTACTTCCTGGGCTGCCTTCTTGGCATCCTCCATACGGCTGCGGAGGGACCATTCCGTCTTTGGCATGTCCTTGAGCTGGGCCTGTGAGATGGCCAGGACTTTGATCCTCTGTCTTTGATCCAAAGAGATGAGATCGTTGAAGTCAAAGAAAACCTCTCGATGTCGACTCTGAGTCCAGGCCTCCCAGGCTGTGGTGGAACTGACATGCACGACCACGGGTTGCTGCAGATTCACATAGTGAGCCACCATCCTGATTCCATAGTACCAGGCTCTCGCCCAGCTCTGTGTGCCAGGCAAAATGGTGATGACTGCTCCTTGCCGATACAGCTGTCCACCAATCAAGACATGATGCACCACAGCCACAACAAAATGACGGAGTCTGACATCCTTTGAGGTTGTTGAGATGCCTATGGTGACCACCTCCTGTCTCTTCAAGGCCAGCTCGTCATGCGTGCTCCAGGACCCCCAAGCCTGCACTGCCGCACCTCCTGTGGAGACTTGGAGAGGCGGGATCTGCAGAAGGCCTTGAGCCCAGAATTCTAAGTTCAAACCATGCTCAAGCTCAAAAACATCTTCTGAGGAGAGCTCAGGAAAATGTCGCTTTGTCTCTTTGCACAACCATAGCAAATGGACTGGAGTGGCTGGCTGTCCACAATGAGGGCACTGGAGATGCGAAGTGTGTTCCCCATCGGCTTGCTTCGTGAAAATGGCCCCTTGATGCCAGGTCCTCAAAGCACAAGCATTGCGGCTGTTGAGCTGCTTGCTGTATCTCTGCCATGGCTTCCAGTCCAGCAGCTGTTGCACTTCTTGGAGCATGGCTCTTTGGCTAATACGATGGATTCGATCCCAAACTTCGGCTCGCTTGAGCTCTTGCTTGAGTGCAGGCCAGCGAGAGTGCATGTCGAGCTTGAAATCATCTTGTCCATTGTAGCCCGGCTTGGTCCAGACATGGTGCTGTTCAGTCTGCCATCCGCGCTCCATGAGGTAGCATTGCAAGGCAGCCACTGGACCCTTGGCAACCTGCCAGGGGTATTTGGCCTGCTGCAGCTTGTCCTTCTGAACATGCCATGCTCTCTCAAGATCTTTGGCCAGATGTTCAGGCCATCCACCAAAAAACCGGTGAAAAGCCTTGACCTGGTCCATAAAGGCGCCGTAGTCCGGATCCTGATGCTTTGGGTGCATGTCAAACAGGATGTCAAGATTTCCGGTCTTTTGCAATCCCATCTGCCTGCCCATCGTGGCTCTAATGCGCCTCCTCACCTGTGGTGCTAATCCCATTGCCTCATGTCCCCAACTGATGCCTGCAATGATGCTGCCTTTGTACAGCTTGAGGCGAATGGCACGAAGGGGTATTTTCAGGAGCTGCAACTTTCTTGTTTTCCTGTTGGCTTTGACCCGTCGCTGCTTAATTGTTTGCACTCTCCGAAGTCGTCCCGCAGTGCAGTCCAGGCCTAAGTCCCTCATGACATCATGTACTGCAGGGCCGTCTGGAGGTAGCTGTTGTTTCAAAAGGGCCTTGGCCTTGGAATTGCTCACAACAAATCCAGTCTTCTTCGTAGAGATGACGAGGTCATCCTCTTGGAGCAGCTGTGAAATGTGGTTGTATGCCGAAATGGCCACTCGAACCGCATTTGCTGGGTTGCGGTCAACAACATCAAAAGACAGGTCATCAATCCAGAGATCCGTATGGAGTTGTGGAAATTTCCGGTGGAACTTCAAGAGAGCATCCTTCAAATAGATCTTTGCAGCAAGAGGTGCCTGAGGGTCGCCTGCCAAAATGCCATGAGTGGCCCAAACCTGCCTCGATGCTTCACCCTCTGCTTCCAGGATGCGTCCCCCTCTGTAGATCTGCATGGCCAGAGCTGCATGAACTGGAGGGTAGGACGACTCCAACCAGCGTGTGGCGAGCTTGCTCAGGTTGATCCGGTCATAGAAATTGGAAAGATCAAGCAGGACAGAAACAACCGTCTTCTGCATTGCACTGTGATGTTCTGTCATGAACGATCGTTTCAACGCAACCTGCAGACATTCGGTGCCCGGCATGGCCCTCTCCCAGAAATATTCATGCTGGATCTCCAATTGCCACTGTTTTGTGTAGGGTGCCCGGAGACGACACCACAATCGGTACAACGATGCCACCAATGCAATTGGCCGCTCAATGTCTGCACTTTTGGGTATCAAAGCAATCAACGAAACCGCCCATTGGTTGGGGATGGTAGCATGTTCTTCAACCTTGTGGAAGAACTCAATCAGACTGGTCATCGCTTGAAATGGAAGGGCGCGGAAAAAATCAAATCCAACCCCATCAAGTCCAGGCGCTTTTTGCGACAGCTGTTTGATGGTTTTCCAAACATGTGCCTCGGTCAGTGGTTTGAGGTCATTGCACTGACTTCGTGCTTTCTCTTGTAGATGTGGCAGAGCCTCCAAGTGTGCCGGTTCGTCCTGTATGTGCCAGATGTTGCCCCATTGTTGCAGCCGCTTTGCCATCCGTTCAACTCTGGGACAGCCTTGAAAGGGTCGCAGATAAGGCAGCTCATCCTTCTTGAGAGTACGGTAAAGGCCTCGACAGCCTTTCTCTGAGGCCTTGTTCATCCACATCCGGTAGGCTTCCGTCTCAACTGTGAAAGCCTCAGCCTGATGCAGCGTACGTTGCTCCTTGGCAAACTTGAGCAAGACTTGGATGTGCTCCTCGTCATGATTTGTCCACAACATGTCAAACAGGAGTTTGAAACCTTCCAGAGTGACCTTTGCATCACCATGCCAGTGAGCGGCGAGATGCCACCCCAACCGTTGTAAATGATGCAGCTTGCTGTGGTCCCTCTGAGTACGATGGAGGTGCTGTTGCAATCGTACTTCAACTTGTGCCCAGTAGGCCTGTCCTCCTTTGCGCCAGATCCAGGGTCGACCAGGATCAGCGAGTGGTCGATTGACATAGGTCAGCTGGGTGCCTCTCCCCAGCTTTGGGTTATCAATGTTTTGCAGCACATATCGTTCGATCCGGCTGCCAGGTGACATCAGGAACATGTTCTGGTATCTTGGTCCACTCAGTGCGAATGTTCTCCAGCCTTGGCGCTGGGTTGAATCGCACAATTTGTTGCAGCGAGATGTGTTCCACAGCTTTGTCCAAACTGAACTTAAGGAGCGCATGTGGTCGGAAAGGCACAATCCAGTCTGCTTCAACCCGCAAATCAGCAACCAAGTAGTCACTTGCAAAGCCCCAATCAATTTCCCTGCCTGTGGAGCAGGTATCCTCACCTGTGGCAATAACTTGAACCTTCATGATTGAGCTCATGGATGTGGTCATGAACTCCTCCGGCGTGACATTGAAGTCGCCAAGAACAATGACCGGTTTCACCAGCCCTGTAACAAAGGTGAGCAAGCCCGACCAAAGCAACGTGTTTGTGGCTCCCTGAATGCCTTCTCCACATTTGAAGTACACCATCACCACTATCAAGTCCAGGCTTGCGAAACTCCAATGTACTGCATACCACCCACAACCATCTATGATCTGTTGCTGAACGAAATGGATGTGCTGGTCAGTGGGAAAAAGGACAAGCATGCCCCCATTTGTGCCCCCTTTTGGGCTGACTGCTGCCGGGTGCCCCAGAATTCCAAAACCTCTGCTGGCAAACCATTGCTGTGCCTTGTTCAGATCATCTGGAGCAAGGTGAGTCTCCGCGACAAAGATGGGAGTTCTAGGTCGACAAAGGAGCCACTGTCTTACTTCAGGCCCCAAGGATGTGACATTTGCAAAGGCGAAATTGATGGAATCTTGGCACTGTCGTTTTGGTGGTCTCTCGTCTCCAACTGTCTGCATAGATGAAGGGAAATCACATGGCACCTCCAACGGCAGCAAAAGTTTGGAGGGTATCGCCCACACTTGCACAATTTGCATCTTTTGGGCATCATGGAGCCTCGGAACTGGTCGTGGATAGGCACCATCATCAACCAACCAGTAAAGGCCCCTGTACACATAGATGGCGAAGAAATGCCCACTCTTGTGCGCATCTCCAGAGTGGCATAGCAAGCCAATCAACGAATACTGCTCAGTGGCCGTTGTGTTGCCATCTTTCGTGACTGGCAGGTTGAAGATGCTAGGGACTTGCAGAATTTGGTGATGCTTGGTCCACTCACCATTGACCCATCTGTATCGCCCAATTTGGGCAACCCACAGTCCCTCACCATCGAAAACTTGACCTTCTGCTGTGTTGGCCCAGCTATTGATCAACTGCTCCAGCTCTTGTGGTTCACTAGATTCAGGGCAGACAAGGTGCACCGGGAAAGCCGCTCGACGGTGGACTTGCTGTCTGTGATCAACCTGAAAATAATGCCCCAGCGTGGTCTTGGTGTCAGCCAGTGCGTTGAGTTCCATCAAGAACTGGGACGCATCTTCCTGGACTCTGTCATCGAACCTCTGCCAAAGCGGTTGGAGAGATTGTAGTTGAGGTAGTTGGACCACCTCATCATCGGTCAAGGCCATCATGACAGCCGCCGTGGTTTTGTTCCACAGAGCTGCCCCTCCCAGAAAACTACCAGCCCAGGTCCATAGTCTGAAGGGAGAGTTTGCATAGCACCGATTGCGCGGATTGCCCAAGCGGTATTGTAAATTTTGCAGCACAAAATCCAGCGGAGACTGTGTGATGCGCTGCTCTTCAAAATTTGATTGCTCTTGTTCATTGGAATCCAGGTCTACGTCCATGGGCTCTTCCATAGTCGGCCCGGCTCCACCACAAAAACCAGGAAATGACGTGATTTCCTTGCCCATCAACACCTCAGCACATGGAGGTGTCCATGCCCCACGCCCAGAGGGCAGACTGAGCTGCCCAGTCAAATCCTCTGAGCCAAAAACTGCATAAGATGGCTCAACTGCACATGCTGCCCCCAGCACCTGCTTGCCGGCCAAATATGCTGCCCCATGTTCGTCATGCTTGCTGGCAGGGTTACCCGCACTTCCTCCTTTTCACTGCATTCTCGCTGAGTTTCTGCGCAAAGGTCGTCACCTGCTCTGCAGTGGCATGAACTCCTACATTGGACATGATGATCATGAGCTTTTCAGCTGAGATCTCGTCCGGATCTACATTTACTTCCTCAGCCGTCTTTTTGTCCTGCTCCAATTGCAGGTTGTATTGTGCTGTGTGTTCTTGAAGCTCTTTCTGTGCTCCTTCAATTTTTGCCTGGAGGTCTTTGAGTTCTTGAAGGAGAGCCGAATACTGCTGCTTGACTGCATCAGCTTTGCTCTGCAACATGGCCTTCTTCTCTGTGAGCTGCTTGAGCGTGCCCACTGACTGCTTCAGCTTCGTGGCAATCGTTGGCTCGGGTTTGCTTGGCTCAACAATCTTTTCAACTGCTTCCTTCAGGTCTGAAGGCAAGCTGGCGAGGTGTTCTTTCAACAAAGTTGGAAGATCAGGTGGTGGCGGAGGTGCATTGGCCTGGAGCCCCAAAGCCTCACATTGAGTCCTGAGACTCTCTGGCAAGTTGCTCCAATGCTCTTGGACCGCCTTCTGGAGTGCCGTTTGTTTGCTCTTCTTGTTCTTTTTGCCAGGATTTCCGCCATGCAGGCCCGGCGGTGGCTCCAGAAGTGCCTCTTTGAAACTCTTCTTGGGCCACTTCTCCCCTTCTTGATTGAAGTTCCATGCTGCCCACTGAACTTGCCGTTTCTTCCTAAGATCAGGCAAAGCTCGTTGCCAGGCCTTCCCACACCCATTGCATGTGAGGTGCGGCTGCACGTTGAGGCGGTCCTGCCAAATCCAGCTGCCTCGACAACCCGAGCATACTAAATATGCTTTTTTCATGTAGGCGATCTTGTAGGTGCCCTCGTTCCGGTCAAAGGGTCCTTCTGGTGCTTCTGCCTGTGGTAGTGCTGGACCACGCAATGGCAGGATGCTACCTGTCCCTGCGTTGGCTTGAGGAAGCAAATGGCTTGAGCCAAAATGGCTTGAGCCAACAGGTGATATATGTATATATATTATATACGTATATATTATATAAAGTCCCCACTCGTCCTCTCGGCCACGTTGCAGGGTTTTCCAGCGTGGTAGAAGCTGGTTCTGGGCGGAGGGAACCTCTGGCAAGTCGCTGGAATCTATGAGACAGTTACAGTCTCCACAGGTCCATAGAGATCGATTGTTACATGTTGTTGCAAACAAGAAAAATCTGAACCTACTTTCTCTTCAAACATTCAGCTCGTCAAACCTTTGCGTTCAGCCCACTGTTGATTGCCAGCTTCCCAAGAATGAAAGGTTGGCATCCTGGACATATCTTTTGATGTCTTTCGGCAGGCGATCGCCATGTTCTTCCAAGTCACTACGGCCTCTGCACAGTTCGAGGTCTGACTGGCAGTTTTCGCGCTCACCTATGGGCTGAGCCCTTCCAGGTTCGAGTGCATCACTGGGAACCGATGGGTATGGTCCGTGTGTTTTAACCACTTTGACTATGGGGGTCCACGTGTAGCTCCCCACGTCCGAGAGAGCGACTTCCAATACGTCGGAACGAGTTCGAGGGCGATCGAACAAGTTCGGGAACCGATCTATTTGGTGATCACAACCGACAATCATTTCAGACCACAAAAAGCGCTGCTTCCATCATCCAGTCTTCCCGGAAGGGTGAAACAACCCAAGTTCGCCTCTGGTGAGGGCCTCAAACTGGAGCCACCACAAGGACACCAACGCAGCCAATCAACCTCGCAAACATCGGCGAGGACAGGGAAACCGACATGCAGACCCCAAGAAAGGACAGTCATTGAGATGGAAGGTCCCTGTGGCGGCACCCGACGGCATGGAACAAAACACCCTTGAAGCATCGTTTTACGCATCGTTTTCCCGTGAAGCTTCGAGGGCCAAACCCATTTGTTGAGGCTCAAAGCGTTTCAAGCTTCGTGCACGACGGGCCCGGGTTGTGACACCTATGGCCAGATTGGGAATTGGTTCACTTGCATGTGTGAGGCGTACCAAGAACAATTGGCGGCATGGTTACTGCTGTGTAAGAAAAAGAACTACATCTCTGCAAGCACTGATCAAGTTCGCTGAAGGTGATGGATCACCTCCCCCTCGAACCTGATTCGGAAGATGAACGGAACGCAAAGCATCTTCAAACACACTCTTTGACGGTCTTCCTCTTTGACTGTTCTCGGAGCACTGTTCTCGGAGCATTGGACCAAGCCACAGCCTTCCTTCTGCCCGGCGCCGGCAGTTCCATAGCAGCAGGCCGTGCATGCTGCAATGATGCACGTTCACTGGCCAAAGCAGCCACAATACGAGTCTTGCCTCGCAGGGAGACTCTGATCAAGACTTTCTCTGCAGCGGACTGCAGCGAGCCAACTGAAAAATGCCGAAGACTGATGAGTCTCTTCCGCGGCAACAGTCCCAGAGTCGTGTGGTGTGCACCTGAGCCTGGTGGGTGTGCTACCACCCCACCCAAGGGCAGTCGCATTGTGTAGGCCGAGCCCAAGGTAGTACCCGCAAAGTGAAAAGGCTCAACCTGGCAGGCTTGTTCTCCAGCTGGAGGTCACTGAACCAGGGTATGACCACCAATTCTGCTGCATGCTGCCCAAAGATTGACCAAACTAGCATTAGCAACATGCTTTGAGCTCTTGACCAAGTCCAAAGCAAACCAACCTTGCACATCCGTGCTCCAAACCCTGTGTGCTTCTTTCTATTGTTAAAATCATGTGCTTCGTTTATTGATCGTTCACAGCTCGACTGAAACTCCCTCCGATGTCTGAATCCCTTTTTCTCGCAACTGATGAATCGAGCGCAGCTGTGGGTTTGGCGTTGGTTTCCCACCCGTGGCCAACCTGCAAGCTTTGTTTCCCCTGTCGCTCAATGCGCTTCATCCATGCAACTGTGGCCACCTGACCCACCAGGAGGTTGGTTGAAAAGCCTTGCAAGGTGTCTCCAATCACCCCAATACTGCTATGGGTGCTAAAGAAGTTGTGTGAAAAGTTGAAGACTTGAGTGACTCAAGGCGCTGGCCTTTAACCCTAAACCCGACACACTACAACCCTAAGCTCAATGAGAAAAGGAGAAGCCTGCACATGTGTAAAAAGTTGTTTTCAAAAAGTACAAGTCTATGTTGCTTTCTTTTGCTTGTTTCCCTCTCCGTTTCTCTTCTAAAGAACCTCTCTTCTCCTCCTGGATCTAGACGGAAAAAGCATAACCGCATATATACATCTAAACTCTACTGTACACCTCCATAGACTCTCCAGATGTGAATACTTTTATTTCACAGTCTCACCAGTGGCGTTGTCGGTTCGCGTGCACAAACGGCTTCCCACCTGGTGGGGGAACAAGGCACCTTCGGGGATAGAGGCGTGCACCTCTGGCTCGGGCCTGGGTCGAGCGAACGAAGACAAGTCCGGTGGAGCGCGTGAAACATGGGAGAACTGATGGAGTTCTTCGAACTTGCTTTTGCCTCTCCTCGACAGTGGGGATTCCGGAAGACTCATTCAACAGAGATGTCAGAGATTCAAGACATGGCCACGTGGTCGTGAAGTTTTGACCCCCAAACACCAGGTTGAAGGTACCCCACCCGGCCAAGCACAGCCCTGAGTGTTCCCAAACCAGACTCCACGAAAACCCCACCTCTGCAGCAAGCTCTCGACGAAGTTCCCAGAGCTCACCTCTCCACTGCTGGGCCACTTCGCCGCCGCCGGCGACGCCGCCGCCGCGTGGAGGAACTCCAGCAGGCGCTTCCGCTGCAGCGTGCCGCCTGGTCGGGGAAAAAGGGAAAAAGGGAAGGAAAGTGACCAAAACGGCGCGGATGGACGGAGTTGGAGAAGGATTGTCAGTTTGTTCTTTTTTGTGGGTGTTCTAAATGAGTTCTGGATCAGAGTGCTACACTCCCTGGAACCAACATGGAAGTGGAAAATGGCCTCGTGGAAGACCATTTTCCTCCACACGACACGCACGGGCGAAGATCCATTGACACTCACCCCTTGGTGAGAAACCGGGGGGGTGTCTCTGTATCGGGGACTAGCTGTAGGACACGGAGATCGATAGGGCTTTTGAGTCAGCAGATGCCAGCTCGTTCACCAATGCCCGATGATCGACCTTCCTCCGGATTCACATGTCCCATCAATCGACACCCTACGCTTTTCCAGGGCCTCCTTCCTTGCGAGCTGCCAGAAAAAAGCGAAAAAGCCGCCCCCAAAAAAACGCGCCCGGCGCCTGTGAGCTCATGGTGGATTTGGGCCAAAACCTCCTTGGCCGCCAACTCGTCCACCAAGGTCACCACCTCAGCGCCGGTCCCGCTCGACGAAGCAACGCACGAGGAGGAACATGAAAAGAAAGCCCCTCCATGCCGCAGACGGTCGCGCCATGAGGACGCTACGAACGGGGCTCCTGGCGTTACTACTAGGAGCAATGTTCGCTACTAGGAACAAAGGGCATCGCTACTAGGAGCAAGGACGTTGAGGTCACCACTCGCACGTCACCCTCAAAGCCGGGAAGGACAAACAGTCGCAAGGTACCTCCGTGCAACCCGTTTCAGCAACAGGACATGCTTCAGCAAGCCGTGAACCGTTTCCAAAGACCAATTGACTTCAGCTATCATTGCTATCGTGTCACCGTGTCCCTTTTCTCCGTTCTTATTCTTCCTCTTCCACTTCGTTCCTAGTCCTTCTCCTTTGCCTTCCTCTCCTTCGTCTTTCTTCAGCTCGTTCTCCTACTTGTCATTCTACTTTTCCATCTCTGATTGATCACTTCATGTCACTTCTCTTTTTCTTTGTTTTCCTCCCACCAGCACCCGCGTAGGACGGCACCTTCCCGGATGTCCTCAAAGTCTAAGCGTTGAACCACGGAAGGCGCCAGACCGTAGCGGACCTCCGCGAAGACCTGCGAACGGCCCGACGGCCCCAGTCTACTGGGCCCAGGGAAGCTGTGATGCTGCGTGCAAAGCCCATGGAGGCTGTCAAATCCCGGGTGTCAGTCAACAACTAAGGCTTATGGGAAACGCTGAAGAGGCCAAACAACCTCTTCTTCCAAAAGTCTCACCAAGGTCAATCTGATCCACGCAAGCCAAGGCAAGCCTTCCGAAGTCACAAGTCGTTGAAGCAATGCAACTTCAACTCCCCCTCCCTGCAGCTCGCTCGCTTTTGAGCTCGTGGTTGTGGCTCCAGGCGAATCTGTGTTAAGGTCACTTCTTCCTGGCTGTTTTCCAGTTTCTCCTGCAGCATCTCCTGATCAGGGTTGGTTCGATGAATTTCATGATTCACCGGAAGTGCGCCCTTTGATGCTCCGTGTTCAAAAAAGACTTGAAGTTAGATGATCCGAATCTGAGGTCTCTCACCCAAAAAACAATGGAAAAAATAGATAAATACAGCTATCTATAATCTATATATATATATACATATATATATAAAGATCTGCCCAGCTTCATTGCCTGGCCCAATGGGAAAAAAAAATCCCTGACCTCCCACTGACCTCCCCCGGTCGCTCCGGATAGCACACGAAGAGCCGCAAAACGCCCTTGCGCTCACTCAGGTTCTTGCGCGCTCGCGCGAGGCCCTTCACGGCCATGCTCACGTTGGCAGCCCCCATGCAGCGCAGCAGTGGCTCAGAGGTCTGACCCTTGCAGCGCTTGCTCCAGGAGGATATGATGGTGGTGGAGACGCCTGGCAAAATGCCAGGCAGTTGGAATGGGTCGGACTGTTCAAGCCGGATTGGAAGGATCAGAAGGCTTTGAAGGAGCGAAAAGAAAGGGCCTCGACCTGCCTGTTTTGACCAACGACGGCCCTCGACCTGCCTTCCACCTCGGCCGTCGGTCCAATCCGTAGCCGGTCGCCCGGAGGGCCCTCGGAGGCCACGTAGGGACTCTCCAAGGCAACGACTTTCAGACTCACCCACAGCTCGCCACTGGTCTTCCTCCGCCACTGGTCAATTGAAAAAATAGACAACGAGAATCCCAGTCAGAGCGGAGGTGCAAACAACTCACAAGGATGAATGATATCCCACTAGATGAACGGATTCGCGTCTTCTGGGGGAGATTCCTTTTTAATTTCTTGACTAGACGACGGTTGGCCCGAGAGCGAGACATGTAATTGTCCAGCACTGTCGAAAAGATGTATAGAAAGAGAGAAAGAGAGGGTGGATGTGAAGGAGTGACAGTGTGGATGTGCAGGTGCGATATAGATGTAGATGTATACTGTGGATGTGAGCGTGCGAAGATGTAAGTGCACAGAGACGAGAGAAAAGATATGTAGAAAGAAAGAAAAACAGGACAGATGTGAAGGAGCGACAGTGTGGATGTACAGATGTGATATAGATGTGCAGATGTGTGGGTGTGGTGAGGTGGAGAGGTAGATCTGCGGAGGTGAGCGTGTGAAGATCTAAACGTAGAGAGGTGAGGGTGTGTAGACGTAGATGCGTCGATGCAACGGCAGCGCAACGTCAACCTTAGTTGTGCAAGTACAACGCTGAAGAGGTTCAAATAGAACTGAAGAACGTACATTTCACACTGAAGTTTCCACGAACAGGGCGACCTGAGAGTAAACGACGTCACGATCATGACAAGCGACTGACATGACTCAGCTGCAGGGGCGCCAGAGCAGCCGCGAGAGATGACTCAGCCGCAAGAGATGACTCATCCGCGCACTCAAGTTGTACTACAAAGTCGTCAGTTCTCAGCTTCCAGTTCCACCGCTTCCTCCGCGTACTAAAATTGTTCTACAACGTCACCAGTTCTCAGCTTCCAGCTCCCCAAATACTCCGCGTACTAAAGTTGTACTAGAACGTCGCCAGTTCTCATCTCCAGCTCCCCAGATACTCCGCCTACTCAAGTTGTCCTACAAAGTCGTCAGTTCTCAGCTTCCAGCTCCACAGCTTGCTCCGCGTACTAAAGTTGTACTACAAAGTCGCCAGTTCTCATCTTCCAGCTCCCCAGAAACTCCACGTACTAAAGTTGTACTAGACAGTCACCAGTTCTCATCTTCCAGCTCCCCAGAAACTCCACGTGCTAAAGTTGTACTAGAAAGTCGTCAGTTCTCAGCTTCCAGCTCCACAGATACTCCGCGTACTACAGTTGTGCTACAAAGTCGCCAGTTCTCATCTTCCAGCTCCCCAGATACCCCGCGTACTAAGTTGTACTACAACTTCGCCAGTTCTCATCTTCCAGCTCCCCACCTACTCCGCGTACTACAGTTGTACGACAAAGTCGCCGGTTCTCATCTTGCAGCTCCCCAGATACCCCGCGCACTGAAGTTGTACTACAACTTCACCAGTTCTCATCTTCCAGCTCCCCAGATACTCCGCGTACTCAAGTTGCACTACAAAGTCGCCAGTTCTCAGCTTCCAGCTCCACAGCTTGCTCCGCGTACTAAAGTTGTACTAGAAAGTCGCCAGTTCTCATCTTCCAGCTCCCCAGATACTCCGCCTACTCAAGTTGTACTACAAAGTCGCCAGTTCTCAGCTTCCAGCTCCACAGATTGCTCCGCGTATTAAAGTTGTACTACACAGTCGCCAGTTCTCAGCTTCCAGCTCCACAGATTGCTCCGCGTACTAAAGTTGTACTACAAAGTCGCCAGTTCTCAGCTTCCAGCTCCACAGATTGCTCCGCGCACTAAAGTTGTACTACAAAGTCGCCAGTTCTCATCTTCCAGCTCCCCAGATACTCCGCGCACTAGAGTTGCACTAGAAAGTCGCCAGTTCTCATCTTCCAGCTCCCCAGATACTCCGCGTACTAAAGTTGTACTAGAAAGTCGCCAGTTCTTCCCCAATTCGCACTCTCGCCTGCATTTCGCGCATCCGACACGCACGATCTCCGCAGAGGGTTGCGCGTGGCAGAGACCAATCGCACTCTCGCCTGCATTTCGCGCACTCGACACGCACGATCTCCGCAGACGGTTGCGTTTCGTGGCGGTCCGGCGGCACTGCCCCCGGCCTTAAGAGAGAAAGTTAAGAAGAGCGAGAGGTGAGGATGTGAGATGTAGATATGAGGATGTGATGAGGATGTGAAGATGAGCAGAGATGTAGACGTGCAGAGAGGATGTGAGATGTAGATATGAGGATGTGATGAGGATGTGAAGATGTGATGAGGATGTGAAGATGAGCAGAGATGTAGACGTGCAGATGTGAAGATGAGCAGAGATGTAGATGTGTGAAGATGAAGATGAGCTGAGATGTAGATGTGAGGATGTGCAGATGTGACGATGAGCAGAGATAGAGGTGACAACGTGATTGTACAGAGGTGAAGAGGTGAAGATGTAGAGGAGGTGTAGTTCTGCAGATGTTTTTTTTACGAAGAACCCTTCGCAGACGCTCTCGGGAAAAAAACTCGCCAAAACAACTCAGAGAGAAACCAGTCAGTCCTCAACTGGGGTGTAAAGCCCAGTCGGTAGAACCATGGGATCTTCTCCGGATCACCTTCCGCTCGATGTTGCGCTGCGAACTTGTTCGCCAAGATGATGCTACGGACGCAATTCTGAATGCTCTTGTGACCCATGCCATCCAGAAGGGTCTCCTGCCTTCGCGTGGTACGTAAATAAAGTCCACCCGCCAGCTTGGACATCTTCACGTCCTCCGCTTTCACACGGAAGCTCATCCGCTGTTCCTCTGCAGAGAAGGCAAAACATCGCGGTTGAATCCAAGAGGCACAAATGGCCAGGGTCGCACTTTGCGGCATGGCACCAGCGGCACGGGTGGCACGCGCCACATGCCGCAACATGGCAGGTCGAGCTGACAATCGGTCTTGGGACTGCGTTCCTCTGCCCAGTGCCCAAAAACAGGACTTGAGAATGATGACGACAAGACTGCTAGTGCATTTGGGCATGAGAGATCATGAGAGTTTGGAAAGCCAAGTTGGAGAATCCGCTCAACCTCCTGTATCCCTGGTGCTGCATGAGAACAGGCCCAGAGAGCGGTTCAAAGATATGCATGAGAGACTCAATTGCAAGCAATTGCAAGAGCCAAAAGGCTACAGGGTGGAGCCACAAACAATACTATGTGCCCTTCACTATATTGTATACTGTATCAGCATAGAAAGGGCCACCGCCCACATGGCTGCGGTGGTAAGACCTGGTAACTTTTTGAGCAAGTACAGCGTCAGTGCAGCGGTCCAAAGAAAGCTTGAAGAAAGGGACAAGCGCACAAAATCAATTGTGGAGTCAGACCCCAGAAAAAGGGTTCAGTTCACCTCGTTGCTGACCAGGGCGGGCTCTGGAAAACCTCGAAAAAAGCTGAGAATTGGGCTCTGCTCTGAGAATTGGGCTCTGCTGGAAATTGAACAAAGCTACCACTCTAAGCTCCGAGTGGGAACCGAAAACTTGAAATCAATCCGACGACCAATTCGTGGAGGGCAAAATTTCCGAGGCGAGATGTGGAAGTTCGTGGCGAATGACCAGCTGATCAATCCGGAAGATGAATTATGAATCTAAAGCACGGGCCGATCACGTCAGACTCTGGGGCATAAAACCATCAAGCAAGGACCCTAGGACCGATGTCATAGTGACTGAGGTCACGTGCAACGCGTCTCCCCCAAAAGGCCACGCTGCGGCCAGCGGCCAGCTGCTAGCGCCCCACCAGCACTCTTCCAGGCCCCCCACGAGCACTCTTCCAGGCACAGCGAGCCCCCTCTGCATGTCCAAGGGGCCCAAGTCCGCATGCACCTCTCGCCGCGGCGCTTGGAGGCACCGGCCCTGTGACGCTGCGGATCATCGGTGGACGGGCTGCGAAGCAAACGGGTCATCCCTGGAGGGTTACCCATTCCGATGACAGAATATGCTCGGTGGATCGCCCTACGTAGGGCTGGAGATGTGTCTTTGCTGGTTCTTCGTTTTGCTTCCAAGTGGCTTTGGTTCTTCGTTTTTGGTTCAATGCTGCTACATGCTGCTAAGAATCAAGCCTCAATTTATATACTTCATCTGCAAATACTACTGCAAGTCTGTAAGGTCCTCACATGACCCATGGCGCTCTAGGATGGCGATATGGTGACTCCTTGACCACAGATCCATTCGTTCCCTACAAGCCTCCACACGCAGCACGCTGGCTGGCAAAGGCTGCGTCAAGGGACGCACAACAAAACCACCCTCCTCGGGCAGTTGAGCCTCGAAGCCCGCCAAGGGCGGGCAGTCACCCGTTTGCCTAGCCGCTAGCCTATTTTTGCGGGACTCCCTACACTCCATTCACTATGTCTGTGCACTATGTCTGTTCCCTGACAGCATCGTTCACTACATATTCAAGCGAGGTCAAACTTCTTCACAGAATGATGCTCTATTCGACTGTGACATGAATTCGCAGTGCCATCGCCGTCGACTCTGGAAAGCGTTATGGATATGGGCCTTTTTGGGGAGGGCATGAGACCAAAGGCTTCCTGCAAATCTGCATGGACTAACCAGATTGTGTGCCCTGCAGCTTGTGTGGACTAACCACTAACACACGCAGACTATCTGAGTGTGGAGTTGACTGCAAGGCTTCACTCAGGTCCCACACTCAGGTCCCACGACTCCACACTCAGGGTCCCAAAGAAGCCAACTGGCGCACTCTTGGGCGCTAACTCGCACTGCCGTTGGCAACGGAGGAGCATCCTTGGCACCGGAGGGGCTTTCGCTTCATTGCAGGAAGAATGTACAACTTACAACTGCTAAAAAGCTGCTTTGTTGAGGAGGAAAAGCAAACCGAACAAATGAATTACACTCTGTCACAAAGGCATGCACAAAGGGCTCCCTGAATGAACCATTGGTCCTGCTTCTTGGGAGATTGGAATTTCCTTCAAAGGAGTCTGTTGGGGATTTCAAGGGCATAGGGACGTAAGCAGGGACTGACACATGCATACACGTAGTTGAAGTCTGGAATCTTCTTCTGCGCGACGCTCAAAACACGAGCATTCTACTGTACCTCTTCCCAAGCTCTTCTCTTCCCATTCCCAGTCAGTTCTCCTCCGGCATGACCACTTAAACATCTCTGCTGTGTGACTCCAACTCTGCAGGCTGTCAGAAGACTCAAATGAAGCCACGAACAATCTCCACTTAGAGATCCCACTTCACTGACGAACACCAGCTTCCCCGTACACAAGATTCGTGCTCAAGGAGAACTTAGGAAGCTGAAGCTTCGTTTCGTGATTTCCTTGTGGTTCTTCCAATCTTCGTGTGAATCCAGTGGATAAGATGATCACCCTAGTCACCTTGCTATGTAACTTCATCCCTGAATTCATCTACCACCTTCCCATAACACAACGAGCTGCAAGACTTGGAACAGTAGGCGGTTGAATCACCTGATACTACAGTTACTACAGTCCCCGGATATCGTGCGAAGCTCATTGGTCCACCAAGAAGCGCGGAAGGCTGCTGCCCAGAAGACACCCCAGCCTCAACTCCCACAAACTTGTCACAAGCAGGGCAGAGTTCGGAGAACATACCAGTAACATCCATTGAAAGCACTCCAGCTCTTGAGTCCCTCCCCAGTAAAGGACTCCAGCTGAGGATTTTCAATTGAACCAGTCTAGAATCTTGGAACCTCTTGTGCGACGGATGTTGCTTTTGCCAATGATGTCTCATGTCCACGAGTGCTTCAACAAGGAAGTCAAATGCAGTTGAAAGCGTCTGCACATATCTGAAGACTTGCACGAACATGTGGAACTGCCCACCTTTTTTTTAATATACACATACACTTTACAGTATTGCAACAAGTCTATTATATATTCATTTTAAGAAAGAACAAAACATAGACATGAAATGGTATATAATCCAAACCAAGCACTTGGTGTCGTTCGCAAGCCTTTTGCCACTTTGCGGGTATTGGGCTGCTCATGCAACGGTCAACGGTTCACTTCCTGTCCATCTGTCTGACCGGGTCTATACGAATGAATTTCTCGGGTCCCTGCCCTTGGGGTGGCCTTCTCTGCAGGATTGTGTAAAGAACACCGCATCCACGTCTTTCACCCTTGCGTTTATTGGACATCACACATCGTGCGAGAAGCAACGAAACATCATCGTCACTGTGAGTCGACAACATGAATAAAGAGCTGAAAACAAAGCGTTGGAGGCAATCCATGAAGAGAAGGCCCAGGATTGAGGCTGTTGTCAGCCTGGGGTATAAAGGTTGAGTGTCAGCATACCAAACCCGCCACAAAACAGTGCTCCATAAGGAAACGCTGTAAAGCAGGCTCTTCTGTGCCTTCACACGGGCCGTGAGCCGGGTGGTGTTCGGTAGACTTGACTGCCAACTTGGATCCACACGGGCATTGTGCCCGACCGGTTTCCAAGCCCAACTCCGTGCAGCGAGTGAGGTTCATGCGGGCGTCTTGTCCCTCTTCAAGGGAGAAGAACTTCTCTCATCGGATTCCAACAAAGTGGGTGCGTCTCAAACTTGGGGACTCCCAAAGCTTGGGAAGCCCCTCACTTCGAAAACCTTTGGGAGTACCCCAAGGTTGAGATGCAACACGGCTTGTTGTAACAGCAAAAACGCCAACGGACATCTCACCCTGGAATTCGAGTCATCCCAATTGAGGGAGTTCTCTCCAAAAAGGATGGTTTCGCGTACGGGCGAAGCCATATGGTCCACCGCACATCGTACAGCTGAAGTTTCCCTCGGCGCAGCCCACAAACTTGGCGCGGTCGGAGTCAGCTGATCCTTTCGATTTTCCGAAGCGGCAGATCTTCTCAGGTCTCATGCCTTCTCCTGGTTCCAGATGAAAAAGAAAAAATCCTAGCGATATCCCGAGATCAACAGGCAAAGTAAGGACAATCAAAGGCATTTGCAGAAGTTCTAAAGAAAAGAACTGCCTTGCAAGTTGGAGTGTTCCAACGTATCACTTTTGCGCGCTGCATTTTTTCAGTCTTTGCATGTCTTTGCTTATTCTTGCATATTCTTGCGTTCGCGTGGATGCGTAGATTTGTGCCCGCTGTGAAGGGACACGGACAGGGGAGGAAACGAGAGGAGTAAAGGAGAGGCTCGTCAATCACAAATGTGCAAGAAGTGGAAAAAGAAAAAGGAACTTCTGAACTCCTTTTTTTGCGCAGACGGTCGCCACACGTCCCAGGCACTCCGCGGAACACGCTTTTGCGGAAGCGCACTCTGTGCTGCTCAGCTTGGCGGCAGCAAGCTCTGTTGCTGCAAAGAAACAAGAAACAGAGATGGCTGTGGGTCAAAACCCGCTCCTGGTAGTCTATTCTGTTCATGTTCAGTGGTCAACCAGGGTCTCCCCGAGTGAAATCACCCACTGCCAGATGATCGAGGAGAGCTCGGTCGTCGGTCACGTTTTTGTGACCACTGGCTCATGGTTGAAGATGCTCGAATGCACGAGCATCTGGCAAATGTCTACAAATGGCACAAACGAAAGACAAAACCAAAGAAAACAAGATTATATAAATGGGCGGTCAAAAGGCGCCAGGAATGATCGAAAGCCTAGAAAGCCTACGGCTTCAGCCAAGGCTTGGAATTGGAACTGTTAGTGGGTTGACTTTTTGGTCGCCCTCGGGTCGTTGGCCCGAGGGCCGCACTGGAACCGGGTCGACTCACGCTGGAACAATGCAGCGTGTCCCGCGTATCGCGTGCAGAGCACTGCAGCGGCTCTCACAAATGAAGCGTTTCCCGCGCCGGCGCCTTGATAAAACGGCAAGGCTGAGAAGTGTGAGGCGAGATTGGAGTCTCAGCTTCTTCGTCCTCCAGGGGTTTTCCCAGCTCGAGCAAGGCACGCGAAAGCACAAGACAGGGGGAAAAATGCATGCACTACAAAAACATGCTCGCCGCCGAGCCCTGTCATTTCGACGAAGGGCAACGTGACAAGGATCTAGATCTAGCTGCAAGTCTATTCCTACCCAACCTAAGAATTGTCCCACATCCGTTGCCAAGAATGATTCTCCTATGAACCACCTTCTAGTTTGGCCCACCAACCCACCCCACCTCGGCCGCACGAGCAGCCTCCACGAGCGCCTCGAAGCGCTCGGGGAAGAGCTCGACGCGGACACGGAAGCGCAGCAGCTCCGAGCGATGGGCTGCCGAGCGGTCCTCGCGATGAAGCGAAGGGGGAACGCTAAAAGGGTCCTTTAAAAAGCAGATCAATCTGGTCCGTCCTCACCATCCGCAACTCGTCTGCAAAAGAAGCCGTCCCTGATGCTGAAGCCCATCTCTCCGCGAGCTACACTCTACGCGTCCACATCTCCGATCCATAAGCAGCGCTGGAGACTTGCACAACAACTTCCTCATGTTTGAAAGATACATTTCCATCACTTATGAGATCTGAGTAGTCTGAGTCCATGCTTCTCATGCTCAAAACAAACATAGCAAATGAGATTCGCTTGCCAAATCTATTTGCGTCAAGAAGAAGTGTGTCCAAAACCGGATTTGTTCGCACCTGACTCAACAGGAGGATGAAGGCCAAGGTCCACAAGGCCAAGAAGCACCAGCAAATCGCACTTCGCAAGTTTGGCACCTCAAAACGTTCGGCGAGGTGCCAAATTGGTCAAACTGGGTGCCGTAACCGTGGGTCGGAGGTCGAAGGTGGGTCGGAGGGAAGTCCCCTTCCAAAGGAAGTTCACCGTTTCTCCTCACATGACCTGCTGAAAAATGAAAAAAATCATTCACAAAAAAAGAATCTCTCAGACCTGCCACATCGAAAGCTCTCCCACCTCACGGTAGTAGAGGAGACCGAAAGCTCCAGAGGTCACCAACTGAATCGCTTGGTTCGCAGGAAGCATCACCGCCTTAGCACTGCAATATTTGGCATGCCACTTCGATGGCTCCAAAGCGCTATTTCGGATGGATCCAAAGCGCTCGACAGTCAGCTCTATCCCAACAATTTGGTCATGCAAATACCACTGACAATGCGAGAGGCGGCTTTTCGAAGCTTACCTTTATGTGTGTGTGTGTGTGTGCATGTGTATATAGATAGATAAACATATACATATATATATATATATGCTCACCCCCCATGATCTATATACCTTTTTCTGCATGTCTGCTCTTCCACTGTTCATACTTCAGCTTTTGATCATGGGGGGTTGTCCATAAATATTTGCATATATATTTATACATATTTGTATATATATATATATGGGTTTCTCGAAGCAACTGAGAACCTCAGAAGCCGGTCAGCTTGATGTCCATCAGCCAAGCTGCATTGCCTCCTCGCACCACAGCTGCTGTCTGGCCAGGTAAGTCCAAGGAAAAGGTCGGAATTGTTTTGCAAGGAAGCAAGACTATGCAGGGCTCTAGATTCTTTAGGGCCTAATAGGGCTTTTCAAGGGTTTGAAAGTGTCGAGTCAATGATCTCTTTTAACTTCACATCTGTAAAAGCGAGATCTGCATTCCTTGAGAGAGGCTTAGGGTCTAGGTATCTCATGTCTCCATCTGTCTGAATGGGCAGCAGGACAAGGACAAGGGCACCAGTTCACAGTGTCACATGTTTTCTGCAAACATCATCCAAAGCAGTGAGAAGTCTTCAATAGAGCTTCTTTCGCTTCATAGAGCTGCTTCAAGTCCGGTCGGTGGCACGGCCGATGTCTTCCATTTGGCAGCGAAAAACAGCCCGGATGCCCGTGGTCAGAGACTCACATGTCACTTACATATAGAGCTTCAAAAAAAGCACACACAAGATCTTAGACTCCTAAGATCTCAAAAGTCCATCTCCTCAGTCTCTTCTTTCCAATGTTCGCCTGGAAGAAGTTCCCCGAGCACCAGAGAAGCCCCGCGGCCGTGCCCGGCAGGAGCAAGGTCCTCAAGTGGAGCTTGGGAGCTTTGCTGGGCCTCGGCTCAAAAGGGATCCAGCGACGTTGGGTTTGTCAAGGTTGAGTGACACTGCAAAAAAGGAAAGGCAGTGGAAAATCCGGTGTCCAACACCCAAAGAAGCAGCTGACAGGTCGGTCGATCTGGAGAATACCGGTTTTTTTCGATGCCTAACTGGATGATTGGTCCTCTCCAATCGGTGTTTCAGCAGACTCCAACCAAACCCAGCCGGTCTGGTCCAACCTGTCAAGAGAGGTCTCTCGCACCGGATCGCTCCGTCGAGCTCTGAGCTCCCAACTGCTTGTCCAAGTCGTCCCTCTCACACAAGGCATACTTTCCGTAGGCACCGGCCATCGTCAACATGGTCACCAGCATGGCACCAATACCAAAGGAAGCCATCCTGAAGTCTCAGTTGGAAATACCAACGGAAAAGCCCAAAGTCTGTGAACAGCTGTCCTTGGCCCTCTTGACTTGGCCCGATCACAAAGCTCGCTTCGCCCCCAGTCAAAGACGACACGTTCGGGGCTGATCAAGAAGTCTAGACTTGACGTTCGTTGAAGTATTAGTGCTGTTCCTAGTAGCGTCCTTACTGCTACTGGTAAGGCACTTGTTACTAGAAGCGATGCACTGGTTCCCTCTTAGCATTCTTGTTGTCCAACGAGCACGCTTCAGCCGAAGGATCCAAGATCCAAAATTGTTGAACTCTTCAATGAACTCGTCCGGACATGTAGAGGGGTCCTGCGGACCCAACCCACCCGGAAGGCGTTTTCTCGGTGGCGGAGACGCCGCGCCGCGGCGACCTCTGAGTCAACGTGGTTTCTGTACTGGTACAGGTGTCTGAGTGTATACATATGGCTTTGCAAGATGCTGGCATCTAATCAATATTCTGGGCCTCAACTCTTGTGTCTTCCCCATCAGAGACCATGGGGGGAGTCCCCTGAGACGTGTCGAACATCAGGAGTCAGAAAAATGACCACCTTCGCAAGATCCACCGACCGCAGCTACGCAATACGCTCGCCTACCTCAATGCCACTTGCGTCTTCTGGGCGTCTGCCACTTCCGTGGTGTGTCTCGTGGTGTCCATTGACATACATACAGCAACTGCGCTCGGTATGCCAGAGGACCACCCCGTTCTCCTTCGGTCCATCACCCTCCCAATCACTCTTCTCCTCGTCACAGCCAATCGCCCGCATCGCGGAGCGACGGCCCAGATTGACGGCACCATACTGAACAGCAGAAAAGCCACCTGGCGTCGTTCGAAACCGAACCGTCGTTCGAAGCAACGAAACCTCATGCAGGGTCCTAACCGAACACCGCGAGACTTGCCATGGTAAGAAAATCAACCCATTGGTTCCCCTGCCCAGGAAAAAGGAAGAGGTAGAATGGATATATAATATATATATATATCAAGTCGAAGAAAGAGGGTGTAGCAAGAAGGGTGTGTGGCTGTGTTCTGGTTGCAAAGGTTCTCTCTGATTTCCTCATGGCTGCATGTAATGATGGTTGTGCTGTGTAAACAAAGACCAAATACAAAGCTACGGGAGAAAGTGAGTTTCTCAGTTCTTCAATGCCGCCTTCACGAATAAATCACAAAAGGTGTTTTCTGAATCCCCACACATGAACACCTTGCAGGTGAATGAACATTGTAAGGTTCGGCTTTGTCATTTCGCCCCACCTGCAAGCACCGCCAACAAGAGTCCAACAGACGCCTGGCGAGAGGCAGCAGTTCCAGACCTCGCAGAGAAAAGAAGGAAATGTTTTTCGCCAGGAAGGATTGCTGAAAGAACATTGAAAAGGTGTATCCATGCGAATCCATGTGAATCCCACTTGAAAATCTGTAAATCTACCATCGCCTGCTGGTCCTTGTCACATAGACGAGGCCTGGCACGACCAGAAGACGGAACGCTTTTCGCAGAGCCCATGAAAGCTGTGTCAATGTGAACGGTTCTTGCAATGGGAACCCCCAGCAAGCTCGCTCAATCGAAGCGGGAAGAGTACGTCAACGAAGGAGCAAAGAACAGGATGGAAGGCGGAAGTACATGACTTCCGCATCCGCTCAGGGCAAATCCTGCAGCAAATCCTTTGTAGCTTCATCACTCTTAGGTTGGAGGCCATCGCTAGTAGGTTGGAGGACTGTGAGAATGGACCCGCCGGCTCCGACGACGGGACCGTTCTGACGCCGGGCGGATGTCCCCATGACCCATCATGGCGGGATCGACTCAAATCTTCAGATGTTGGTGGAGGGAGACACGAGCAAAAGGAAAGCAGCAGAACAGTTTGTTTAAACTCCTACTTGATTAAGTAGGTGCCTACTTAATTAAGTAAGTAGGTAAGCTAAGCTACTGGCAATATAGGAAGCTCCTAGCTCGGACGCTGCATAGCTCACGACTCTTCAAGGAAGCAACCCCCACCTGAGGGTGGGGGTGAACTTCCTTGAAGAAGCGCTCGCACTAATGATAAGGCTCCTAGATTTCTAGGAAAACTTAATGTCTTGAGCGCCATGAAATCATTTATGATCATTTATATATATATATATATGTGTGTGTGTGTGGTGTGGCTCGAGACCCTGGAAGTACTTCTGACATGCAGACATTTGATCGAACGAACCCTGGGCTTGGACCAAATCGCTTGAGGCTCGTCACGAGGTGCATCAAGTGAGGTAGCATCAAGTACGTGTGCAAGTTGACACGAACGTCATTGCCCCACCCCATTCAACCCCAGGCACATACGTGGTCACCTGATCGAATGTTCTGCGTCTTTCACGTGGCGCTACTCACCATCTGACCCACCGGTGACGCGTCACAATCTGGGTGTCTGGGATCTCCCACAACACGAGGAGTCCGAAACGTGCGCACCTGCCGATCCCAGGATGATGCAAATGAGGTAGACAGGCGCGACATAGACCCTCAGAATCAGAGTTCAGGTATCCGTTTTCCCTTTCCCCCTCACCTGTGAACGTCTTCGATAGAAACATTGCAAACAGCCAAAAGCACCTAGCTGTTCTCAGCATGAAGCACTGTTTGCCATGCTCAGAAAACACATACATACAGCATATGAAATCTCACGTGTGATGGCCGCGGAGTCATGCTGTAGTATTCAAGACCATCTCCATGGTTTTACTGCTATCCAGCCCTAATTAATTTCGAAGCTTGCGGTTTGTGAAAGCTGCACATCACCATACCAGAAATCCCCCCACACCTTCCAGCTTGCCGACCATCACCATCCATGCCAAGTGGCTTGTGGCCGAAGATGAGGTGTTCCTTCATATTCTCTCCAAGCACCAACCAAAACACCAGAAAGCTGAGGACGGATGCTGTACTGGTGGTCACCTCACAGATATCGGCTGGCCACTACTTCACTACACGCGCACTGTCGATGGTTTGGAGCCTGTTCGCGTCTACAATCAATAAAGAGGGAACGATTTAAAGTCAGTCACGCATAAATGAAGAAACCCAATATACACCTGAGTTTTACTGAATTCTGGGCAAGCAATAAAAGGCCAAGTCCACACTCCATAAGACCCAACATTCAAACAACACTCCGGAACTCCAAGACTCTTGGATTCGATTTGAAGAGCTTCAGAGCACCCAGCGAGAAGTCAGAAAAACGAGTCAAAAAAACCAAGCCCATCTTTTTCGCTTTTGGGTGTTTCCTGGGGCTGTCCCAAACACAATCCCTCGTGATGCCGAAGACTCACGTGTGCCAGCCGCATCTGAGCTTCCCGGCGGCGACGCACATCCCAACACCCAGGAGTGGCACAGCAGTGATGGTGCAAAGCCCGCTGGGGATCCTCGACCAACAGCCCAGCTGGAACCAAAAATACACCAGCATAGACCCAGATAGCTAGGCAGAATCCCACGACCTGTTGACATGCGACTGGCTGGAACAAGAATGTACGCAGCCTGCACAGCCAGCTTACGGCACCTCCACAGCGGACACAATCAGCTGACACCGGCACCGGTGCGCTTTGCCAGCTGACAACACCGGCAGCGGCCAGCACCCGACCAGTGCCACCGCCCGTCTTAAACGCACGCTCAGCCAGCTCACAGCACCAGCACCCAGGACCACAACACCAGCGCCCAGCACCAGCGCCCAGCACCGGTATACCCAGCACCAGCACCCGGGACCCAGCACCCGGCACCCTGTCTCCACCAAGTGGACAGGCAGCTCACAGCACCGGCACCGGCCCCCGCTGTCTCTACCACGCGTACTGCCAGCACCCAGCACCGGCACCGTGTCTCCACCACGCGCACAGCCAGCTTACAGCACCCAGCACCAGCACCACAGCCCGCACCAGCACCCAGCACCTCTCTCCACCCGCGCACAGCCAGCACCGAGCACCAGCACCGGCACCCTGTCTCCACCACGTGCACAGCCAGCTCACAGCACCAGCACCAGCA